CTGGAGATGGAGGCATTGACATATTTTCATGGACCAGTCGCTGTGGGTAAGTGGAGGGGCAGAAATGGCCTGGGAAGTATCTATACATTAGCCAAACTTATTTTCAAGAGCGGTTCCAGCATCGCAAATTGGAAATACCCAAATCTGCAGGGGCATGTGCCTCACCCACATGGGTAATTACTAGCAGGAGCTTCTGATAAGAAGGGCCGGGGCATGTGGCATGTGCTGGCATTAACCGAGTTTATGGTGCATGGCAGTCGGCAGCACATCCACTGACTTTCCCTCAATTATTAGCATAGCCGTAGGGAAATGGAAAATGGAAAATGGAAATATGACGAGTGAAAACATTTAACAGGCAATTGCGTGCGGCGTGTGGGCGATCCATCAGTGGCTGATGGAAATACGCTGATAAGCTGGCGAGAAAGCCATTAGCAACTGGAGGTGGGCCAGCTTGGAGTATCCTGCCTGAGTTCTGCTTTTTAATAACTGCCTGGTCCTGCGGCGCCGCTTATTGGAAGCCATTTGAAGTGGCAGCTTGGAGAGTCGCGTGCCGATCGCAAGCTGCGTCTGCCATTTCCTGATCCCATGCTGAGGGCCAGTGCCGACGATCTGTCAGTCAGTGAGTACTGCCCCCTCGGCAACGCATCTTCCGGATGTCAGATATCTGCGAATATGTATCTGTTGTCATCGCGGCATCGAGTTTCAATAATAGTGCCGTGCAGCTTTCGACTCGCGATGATGGATCGTGTGGCACGGTGTCCCGCTTATTGACTAACTGACAGAGGGGTGGATTGGATTGCTTAATGGAAGTACCTTTACGTGGAGAGCTGGAGTCTTGTGAGCCCTGGAAGCCCTCGAGTTATTTGCTCTACTCCACACTATACTGCTCTTCCCGAACACACTTCGATCGACTTTAATGAGCATGTCAGAAATTCTACTGGTGGGCAGAACCAGCAAATCGATGACAAATTGTATAAGCTGCAGCTCTGATTGATGTTAAGGAAGCCCGATTTAGTGGATCGCCTAACTAATTGCTCAATAAGATCGTACCTGCCACAAGCTGTCCACTGGAGCCCATTAGAACAAGTGCATCGAGATGCGCCGGGGGCCCATGGAGTATTTCCATTTCCATTTCCCAGACTCCAAGCTGAAACGCCGGACTATTAGACTATTAATCACACGAAATTGTGGCGCAGAATACAATTTCATTAATTGTGGCCAAAACACACTCGCAGAAGGAAAACCACACCCGCATGCCACTCGAGAGAGTTTCCCACGAGTTCGGTTACTTGAACTCCAGCTCCGCCGAGCTCCCAGTTCGGATACAGTTGCTCTGCTTGACCCCTGACCGGCGCTCCGCTCATAAATGTATATTCAGTCCACACCCCCAGGTGGCTACCGATGTGGAGCATTAGCCAGTGCGGTCACGTAGCGTTTTGTTTTACATTCCACTAGTAAAAGGTGCCACAAGCTGGTGCAGAGTTGAGTGCCCCACCGCCTCGACTGCAATTCACGTGAAGACAGCTGCTGCAGAAGCAGCCAGAGGAAAACTAGGATGCAGCCGCATTCCGTGCCCTCATATTGCACTGTAGTTCAGTGTCAACGTCAACCACGTAATCAACTTACAGGAACCCATTGCCAGGACAAACAGTCGACGCTCTGCACTGAGCGCAAAACCGTTGGCTTTTAAGGATGTACCTATAGTTTGCTGAATTTTCTTGGTGTTTCAAAGGGACATTTTTATGTAATTCGCTTTGTCTTACTTTATTTTTAAATCTATAAATTATTTTCGCTTCAATGAAGTTTTTTCAGTGCACAACAGTGTAGCAACATCCCTTTCGGGGACAGCAAAAAAATTGCAACAATCCGCAGAGGCAACCCCCGAGCTCAGGACCAAGTCCTCCGAGCTATCTCCGCCTGGTGGAGGGGGATGGAGCGGGGGATTTGAGGAAGGGGCGTTTGTCCTGGGCTCGCTAATGTTTGGTTTCATTAGTCCTGAGCGACAAATCAAACAGTTTGTGGCAGTTTGTTTGCTGTATTTTTTCCGGCATCCATCCGTTGTTTACACTCATTAGTTGGTCCTTCTGCCACTCGAGTGCTGCGCCTGGAATCCTGGAAAGCGTCGCACCCTTGTGGCAACTAGCATACGTTGCAGGGCGCACTGATTTCGGTCGGTTGTTGAGGGTGCCACTCACTCGGTTGTTGTTTCGTTTTCATTATTTAAAGCACATTAATAATCACATCTGACAACGAAGGCAGGCGGGATAGGAATGGGAATGGGAATGGGAATAGGATTAGGGCGACAGGAGTCGCGTATCGGAAAACTGCAAACAAATATTTGCAAGGGACGAGAGTCGGGGAAATGGCACTTAACGCGCTTGTAATGAGTTTTCCGAGTAGATTTCGCGTGGTTTCGCCCACTTGTGGGTGGTTGCGCTTTTTATGGCCCTCGAATTGGGTGCAAAAGATTGCCATCTCAATCGAAAGTGGGCGTGTTGCAGTCGATTGATTTGTGGCAGTCATAAGTTACACGTGTGGATGAGCAGTTGGGGCGATTGTGGACTTGGATTAGCATAAATCGAGCTCGGTGGTCCTGCGAGCCGTTCGTAAACATGTCTATTAGCCACAAAGGTCCAAAACATGCATAATTATGACTGCTCCTCCTTGTGGCCGACGTCGTTTTGGTGTCTTTTGTGTTTTTTGTCGCCGGGCCCTCAAACAAAAGCGACAACGCCATATCGGAGCGAACAACAAAAGACACTCAGCCGGCGACCACACACAAGGCAGCTTGGAACTTGGAGTAGCCTGAGTTAGACAGCGGGACAATGGGGCACTTTTGTATGGCAGGTCATATGTGAGCCCGGCACTTTGGTTATCGAATAATCAAGTTGTGAATCACGGACCCCGCAATCGAAACTAAAACGCGGCAAAGGGGGAAGACAATTAATTTTAAGGTCGTTTGATGTGAACACTTTCACCCAAAACAAACAGATACGAGTGTCCTTTTTTCCAGTCGCTTTGATGTCGGTCCTTTGAGCCTGGCGTTTACGGCAAGTGCGGGAGGACCAATCATTAATCACAGCGATTTGGATTTGTATAAATATTTAATTAACCGCAGAGCAGGAAAGTATATTTCAAAAGGAACGATTCCAGGCGCCAGCGAGCGAAATTAATGGAGTTTCAGTTCGAGTTGGAGTTGTAGTAGGAGTTGGAGTTGGAGCTGGGAAAGTGAAAAGTGATTTCCAAGAGCTCGTCCTTTGTGATCAAAGCTCTGTCCGAGCAGATCCTTCCACGAATACCAATCAATTGGGCTGCCTTTCTTCGATTGCAAACCGAACTCACTTGAAAGGACAGCCAAAATAAAATACTTTCGTGCGTGTTGTCCAACAACCAAGTGGTCTGGGTCTTCCCAGAAATTACGCATAACAAAGCGCTTGCTCTGGCCAAAGTCTCCCTATAACCCTATATGCCTATATCCCTATATCCCTATATCCCGATTCCCAAGCCGATGGAATCGAATCCTTCCCCACTTCCCCGCCACGACTCTCTCAATTTGTATTGTCATTAGCGATTATGGGTCGGGGGGCGTAATCCGATATGTTGACAGAACGCATAAGCGGGGATCGAGCATTTTCAGACAGGACAACAGTACCCCAGGACCTGGACCAGGACCAGGACCCGGCCAGACAGGACCGCTGACAAGCCTATAAAGCATTCGATCCTTGGCGCTACTTCAAAATGTTTACTCCTTTTGTGAGCTCAATAAAAACGTAATCAAACCCACAACGCGAGTTCGCTGAGGGGATGATGATGATGCGTCACAAAAAGAGCAAGGGATCGGGATCCGGCCAGGTTTTCCATCGAAAAACCATGGCGCAGGCGTAGCGAAAGTGAAATCGAGACGCAGCCACAATCGAATCGGCAGCTGGAACACCTTCGCATCATCATCCCATCATCATGATCATGCCCTCACCTTCGAGGCCATCCAGGCTGTTTCTGTGCTGTTAGAGGACCACAAAGGGCCAAAGTCAAAAGGGGCACGCGCTCGGTTCTCGATTTTGTGCCTAGACAGGAGACATTGTGACTGATCGGGTTGGTGTCCTCAGACGATGGGTTTGTTGTGCTCTAGACAAGCCGCAGACATCAGTGTAATAGACTTATTGTAATTGAGCCACAAAAGCCGCCACACACAACTTTTTCCGCGTTTTGCAGCTGCCATATGGACAATGTTACCCCTTAATCTCCACCAATCTCGGCTGCAGAGCGCAATTTTGCGTGTTAATGTTGAGGGAAATTTAATTAAATTTTGCAAATGTTTTGCCCATTTTCATTGTCCCTCCCGTCATGTCACCAAATGCCAGGTCATGTCGAGGCCCTTGTCAAGTTGACTTGTCCACCTTTTTGTGGGCTATATATGTATATATCTGTCCCAAAAGGGAATAAGGCACAATGCGTATACTTAGTCGACTGTTTGCCTTTGCCCCTCATATTTCAATGGGCCAAGTTAACAAGTTAATTTTCCATATTTTCTTTGCCCAACTTTGTCGAGTCCTTGTGTGCATCCTTTGTGGTTCGCATAGGGTTAAGCGAATGACCCCAATAAAGTGCGTGCTAATGAGTATAAAGCGTAAGGGACTTGGCTTGAATTTTAGATCCTTTAAAGACCTTTGCCCGTTTTCCACATAAAACTCCATGGGGAATGATTATTGACTCCCCATCATGAGGAGTCTGTCATTTCACAGCCAGCCACCCCAAAAAGGGGCTGGGCAGGCGATAATCCTTTTGTGACCCATCGCTTTGTTTGGCATTTTCACGCAAGAGCAAATCGTAAATGTCAATAGCAGCGCATCTGTGTGACGGGATAACCCCTCGGATTTTCACGCAGGGGCAGTTTTGTTTTTACACATGCCAACCTGACAAATACAATTATACAAAGCTCAAAGAGGTCAGAGTTCGAAGGTACCGCCCCCCAAAAACAAAGTGCCAAGCCGAAAACATTTAAAGACAAATTAATGTGTATTTAAGCTGGGCCAATCCGCCGTAGGCCAAAAACTACAGAGACTAATTGCCCCAAAGGAGAGCTGGGAAAATCTCACGCCTTTCTTGATTAATTAATCAAAGTAAATAGCTGCAATGCGCCAGCGATGAGCCAGCCAAGCACAAAGGTCGAAGGTCATTAGCGTAATCTAAACGGCCGATTGATAAGCTTTTTCCACACCTAATTGCTACATTAATTTCCCGATGAGCCGGGAGGCCACACCAGTGGCGACTGCCATGGCGAAGCTGAGTTTCCAGGCAGCGCCTCCGCTCCGGGCGGCCGTGGGAAACAGTTTGTCCCAGACGGCGTACCGCTCCGAATAGCCGGGCGAACCCACCTGGGTCACCACCCCGTTGTAGAGCATCTCCAGGTTCGTCGCGTTGCAGGGTGGCCACATGTCCGTACTGTTTAGGGGTGTCCTGGAGCGGAAGAAGAGTGCAATCGGTTTCATTGTTCACCAGCAAGAGCCATATGTTCTTGGACTTCACTTCCAAGGCGATTACGATTACCAAAGTTTCCTTTACTTACCCCGTTCTGGCGAAGTGGGTGAACCAGCCGGTTAAGCGCTCCATCATGAACACATCCGAATCATTTTCTGCCATCAAGGCACCATACCACAGTCCCGGCATCACATACTGCAGATCATCCGCGTGACCCACTCCCACGGGCTTGTCTTCGCCATTCAAGGGAGCTGAGAGGCTGCGGTCACCCACGTAATCCATTCGCATATAGTAGACTGGGGTGAAGGGCCTGGCTAGTTGGACGAGGCGGTGGACACCGTGGCCAATGTACGCATCGGAGAAGATGCGTCCAAAGTCCTCAATGTTCTCCGAATTGATTTCAGTCGTATTATCACCCAGATAGAAACCTTTCAGATCTGTTCCAATTGTTGCGTCCTGACGATAGAGGAACAGCTCCGGTGCGTACTCCACAAAGTTAGAGCCAAGATCGTGTAGCAAGTGCTGGTTTCCCAGGTGCACTACGGATTGGAAAAGCATAAGATACACTGCATATTTAAATAGAAACCCCCGCATCTCACCATCGGCGTTGTAGTCGAACTCGTTGGCCGTGTAACTGACCAGCAAGGGAACCTTATTGAAGTGTCCCTGCGTGAAGAGTTCCGTGGGATGGCTTGGTAGAAAGTGGCCATCGATCTCGTAGTTCCACTTCATGTTGATGAGCTGATAGGTCTCCCATGCCTTACAGACTGCCACAATGCGTGTCCAATTCTCGCTTCGCAGACACTCCAGCACATCCATGGGATCATACAGCGGACAGCCCAGCTCACGAGCCAGTTTCCGTGTCCAGAAAAGGTTATCTATGTCAAAGTGATTGGTGGCCGAGCCGCTCATGAGGATTGCCCGGTGGAAGAGGCCTGCGGAAAGGGGCGAGGCCAGGTGTAGACTGACTGCCATCGCACCAGCACTCATGCCGAAAATAGTCACCAATTCCGGGTCACCGCCGAAGTGAGTTATGTGATCCCTGACCCACTCCAGAGCCATCAGCTGATCAAGGAAACCAAAGTTTCCCTTCGCCTCACTGCTATTTGTGCTGAGAAAGCCCAGAGCTCCCAGGCGATAGTTAAAGGCCACAAAAACTATGTCGTGCTCCAGCAGATATTGAGGTCCTGCTTCGTAGCTGCTGTGTCCACTTCCCAGGACATTGGCTCCGCCATGAATGTACACCATCACTGGCAATGTGTCCTCGAAGCTCTTGGTGAAGACATTTAGCTTCAGGCAATCCTCAGTCATATACGAAGCAATGCCCGGTTGGGGACACACCAGCGAATCGGACGTGGCCTGGAGCACCTCGTCACCCCAGCTGGTTTCCGGCAGTGGATTGGCGAACCTAAGCTGTGCCACCGGAGATTGCGCGTACCGCATGCCTCTGAAGGCGTAGATGGTCTTGTTCCGGAAGCTCGGCATCGTAGCTCCTTGGACTCTGCCCAAGGAGAGCTCCACCACAGGATCATCTCCGACAAAAGTTACGGCAGTGGTGAAAGTTATTGAAAATAAAAGAAGAGCAAACTGAAAATATCGGGGCATTTTGAGAAGTCTAAAAGGAAACTGATTTAATGCTCAGTAGTTTGAATAATCGGCTTTGTTCTTACCAAATGAAAAACTGTCTGTGGGAATTGTTAGAGATCTTGCGCGGTTCTCAGAGTTTTGCAATACCAAGTTTTTATTTGTTTTTCCCCTTTTTGGTGGTGCGCACCCGCATGTTGCGAGTATCTCAGCGAAACCGTGACTGCAGGTTTCGCACGGTTTCTATTTCCTCGGGTGGTACTATCTGGAAAAGCACTTGGAGATAACTTAATCGATTGGTTGGCCACGATTAGCGCTGTTCGTGGTGGCCAGAATGGTTGAGAGTAAGCCCAAGATTAGGCCAACTGTGCTGTGCTCTCTCATTACCTTGCACCTAAATAACCGAATAGCCGAAATCCAGTTTAATTGAGACTTATTGCTTCATTGTGGGATTCCGAGCTGTTTCGGATTTGGGTTCGCCATTGGCAGACGTTAGGCACATCACCCTGATTTGCACCACCGATGGGTCGTGGGTCCGTTGGTTTCCATGGGCCGTGGATCGTGGATCGGATCCTACGCCCGCAGATTTTTTAGAGTTTCGAGTTTAGTTTTTCTCATGCCAGCGGCTGAGATTTAAATTGATTTCCTTATTAATGCACATCCCTCTTGTAATATTCAATTAAAACTACCCACGATATAGCATTCCCTTGATTGACACAAGCCGAGTGGTAATTACTCGAACTCTGGGACAGTCGGCGTTCTCCTTTTCAGCCAGATTGGAAACTGAATATGGTGGCGGCGAAGGAAATCCCACAATGACCTTTTCGAAATAAATGCACTTAATTGCGCCGGCTTTTAATTGTGCCAGCAAGCTGATGATCTTCAAATTCAATCCACAATGAATATTAATATTCCCTCGCTGATCACAGCGCCCATTAAATAAGAAAATAACGATTTTCACACATCGCCGAGTAGCGAAGCTCGCAAATGAAACAATTTGCGACAATCTGCCGCTGCTCCTGAGGAGCTGAGCCCAATATTCCGGACACTTGAGTGCGCATGTGCACACCGCAGCACCACGGGAGGATCGGAGGCCGGAGGCCGGAGGAAACCACCCTGCCCGTCCAGCTCGATCTGCACGGAGCCACTCGAGTTGTAGCAATATATGAGTGGCCTCTTGACAGACATCGTCGTCGTCATCATCATCGTCGCAATCACCGAGGAAGCCCAAACTGCGCCACTTGAGGGCTCCTTGTGTACCCTTTGTGGCAGGCTGCTGCAGCTTCCTGTGGCTTGATGACGTTGCCACGAAGCTCGAGATGCAAAAACTTCTCACGCGTTACTGTTAACAATTGTGGGGTTCAGTGGGAGAAGGCTATTAGTTTGTCATTATCTAATATGAAATGGGAGCTTGCGTTGATCAAAGTCAAATGTTCGAGAGACGAGTGTGCAGATTTTCTTCACTAACCTTTCCAGCTACTTAGCGAGGTCACGCCCTTGGAGGTCTGGAGTCGCACCCCAAATGGGAAATTAAAGGATCGATTTCAGTACATACATATTTGCAAATTTTCATGCAGCTGCCGCAGAGAGCACTAGAAAAAGCAGCCAGCTCAGCCATGCAAATTTGCAGATATTTCAGTAACTGGCTCGGCTATTAGATGACAACTGAATGGAAACAGTCGCAACTCTCAAGTGACCAACATGCAGGCCTCCTTGTGGGTTTCCTTTCTTCAGACGACCGAACGAGACGCCACGCCCCTCGCTGAGCTCGATTCCAATCCCAATACCAATCCCAATCCCAATACCATTCCCATTCCCATTCAGAAGGCGCAGAACAAAGCCGATGGAAACCCAAGGAACGCAACAATTGCCGCACACGATAACCACTTGAGTAATCAATCAAAGCGATAGGCAAACCCAGACGTCGACGTCTTGTAATGAATATTTAAAGATGGAAATTATCGCAATCCGACAAAGGCGAGGGGCAGGACAAAGGGGCGAGGTCTCCGGCATTTTGCATAACTGATAGCGAAACAATAGACCAATATCGAAGTACGCTTGGCATTCAGTACAAGCATAATGCGATAATTTGGGCACAAAAGTGCCGGCCAAGGGTTCAGTTTGGCATTAGCATCTTGCGTGGCCCTAATCGGCCACATATTCCTTTAATCAATCTGGAAGGGTAGAGGAAAGTTCTTCTCAAGTGAGCAAATGTCCCGAATGCGAAACAGAAATAACAAAAAGCCCTGAAGGACTCGCAGGATACGAGTGGAGTTATGCTTGCAGGGTAGCTCTCCTCTCGAGACCTTTGTGGTATTGTAATGAGAGTGACGTCCTACTTGCGCCAGGACGAAGGGTTTCCTGCCTTCCAAGCTTCCCTGCAAATGTTTTTCACACCATGGCTCGGCGATTGTCTGGTAAATAGGCTCTGATTTCTAACCCAAGCTTCTCTTTATGCCAGAAATAACTTAATCATTCAATTTAAATCATGATGAAGCTAACACTTATATTTAATGAAAAGAAATAAACTAAATAGAGTTGGCAGTGCTTCGAATTGAAGTTGATAAGTGAGTTTTGGCACACAACTTATGCTCAATATTTTGTATACACTCCCCCCAAAAATTATTCCCTCGTAATTAGTTTCTTTGAAAGCAAGCCTCTTACTCCAAAACAATTAACAATGTTTTTTATAGCCCTAACACGCCAACAAACTGGTACTACTTCGACTCCAGAGGTTTTACAATAGGAATTGATGTGCCCAAGGCCTAGGGCAAACCCTCAATTGGACTCGGAGGCAGTGGCTCCACCCCGAATCCCAATAAACAAAACTTCAAAAGGGCTAAGTTTGGGGGAACCCTAAAACGAAAGTTGCAACGGACATGAGATCGTAATATTTGCCACTTAATTGAGATTAATTGAAGTTATGTGCCCGATATGAACAAACAACTTTGCAGCCATTTTGTTTATGGCTGCGTTTTATGTGCACACAACACATCGGCCCGAAAATATTATTAATAATTACAAGAGCGCGGCAATGGCACCCCGAAAATAGTTATAGAGCCGAACCCTCGGCGGACGAAAATTTGATTAAATTAAATTGAGTGCGACGGAGTTGCTGGAGCAGCGGATGCATGTGTATCTCTCAGATACGGATGCAAATCAAACGCTATTGAGCCAGCCAGTTGGTCTACGCTCTACCCCCGAAAATTAGAGGTCTTGGCGATTCCGAGGTGAATGCACTCACTCGCATTCTAATAGTGCCCATCTCGATGCTGATTCTGCACTGACAAAAAAATAATAAATTCACTATCTATCATTTTAAGTACAAGCTTCTATATGCAACCATGATAAATTGTACTTTATACTATAACACTTTACTCTGTTCTGGTTTGAAATGCCTGTGCATTTATCAGCAGATTTTTTTCTGAGTGTAGTGTTGCGGATCTCCCGAAAGCCTTCAATTGGTGGATTGCTCTAGATGCGGCGTGCGTGTTAATAGCCACGGCGTTTGTTGTAAGTCACAACTAGCAATTTACGCTAATTGACATTCAAATGCAGTTGAATAAACTTTTTGGGCAACGACTGCACTGCTAAATGATCGTAATAGATGGCCAGGTCGTTGGCTTCTCCACTGTGAATTCTGTGAAATTCATTTAGGGATTTACAGCACCGCAGGACCATCGCTCATCATCAACCCCATCGCCAGATCTCGCCCATCATTTATAAATTGCCGCATCCAATAAAGGCAAACGCTTGAGTAAATCCACTTAATTGCCGTCTGCCTGCGCGAATCGCGGGTCCTTGATGTCCGTGAAATACTCCTGGCTGCCCGGCCTCCGCAATCAGCAAAAGCGAATGGCGAATGGCGAAAGGATGCAGTTGCTCCACGGTCCGGATGTGTTCGCACTCGTGTAAACATGCGCTTGTCATTAGACACACCGGAAATATTGACAGCATTCGACACGCGGCGCACGCGGAACTTGCCACTTTATTTGCCATTTGATTTTTTAAAATTGTAAAATTTTCAATTCAACTGCTCCTCGATTGTTTTCGCAAGTTTCGCTCTTGCGCTTGAGTAAACAGCGTTAGATCTTCGAGGCTACCCTGGCCGAAAGGATCGGGTGGTTTTGTATCCTGTGAGGAGGGGTGTCCTGTGTCCTCGTCCCTTTCGCTATATGTATCCCTGTACGTGTGTCCTTTGTCTGGGCATCTTTGTTTGGGCTGAAGTGTCGTCGCCATGGCGAATTATCCTGTTTTTTTAACTGAAGTACCTGAAATTTTACAGCGTCGGCTTCGGTTTTTTAATTCCACAGAGAGAGTTTACTAATTACATTTTATTGCGTGTCGCCAATCGCTTTGTCGCCGCTGGCAAGTGTGAAAAATCAGCTCCTTTTTACGGTTTAAATTGGGTTTTTCAGAAGCCGTCGATCTCTTTTCTTGGCCACAATCTATCGGGACCTTGATTGCACATTAGAAAAGTGTTTGGCCCAGAGTTCTGGGAAATTCGCTCAGCCTAGACAGACATCGCAAAATGCCACGCGCTTTCGAACAATCGAAACAATCCTGGGCCATCGGAATTTTTTGTAAGGACATGAAATGCGGGTATCGCTCCACGGATTGTGGGAGAATACTTGTAAATTCGATGTAATCCAACGCCTTAATTTCAAAACACAAAACAAATGCAAATAATGTGCACGAGAAGGAATTTAGATGAAATTTCGGGCTTGGAGCCCAAAAACAAATTAAGCGTGGGAAAATATGAAAATATATTTTTCGCTTGTAATCCTTCTCATAACCATTGAATTAGTGTACAATGGATCGGTGTGAAAACATACACAGCACATTCACCAGGTGTAAGCCCATTAGCAGAGCAGCTAAAACCCACACAACTGACCTCAACTCGAATCCTGTTGACCCGAACTCGGTTTGTTTGGACAGATTAGAGAGCCAAGCTACTTAGCCAGCAATCGGAGTCGGGTGAGGATCACTTGTCCGGACGATCGGTCAATCTATTTAGTCCCGAAATTCGGTGTTTTCGGCTGGGCTTACATTTCAATTTCCCATTTTCCATTTTCCGTTGCCCAATGTCCAATGTCCGCTATCGAGGGCCTGCGATCTCCCCTGTTTTCCTTCACTTGGTTTTTGTTTTTGTTTTTGGCCCCATGCGGAGTGTGAAAGGTATTATCGGTTTGACTGGATCTCCCATCGAAAACGTTGTTGTCGTTTATGTTTTCAGTTACATTTATCAGTTTGTGGAAATGCCAGTTGAACAATGAGAAATTATGAGACTTGCTTTAAATCATTTACCATTTAACATTGCCATGATCCCACAGGGTTGTTCCAAGCTGCTCATTGGCCAACTTATCGGATCGCTGGGATCAGTCATTGGGATTTCTCGTCGTTAGTTGCCAATTGAATGCTTCCATGGTCCTATATGCGGTTTTAATTGCGGCAGCTACGAGTTGACTTTTCTATCCCATCCAACTTTCCTAGGCAAGTTCCACTTAATTAGCTGCAAATTGTTGTTCGACTGCGCGGATGAGATCTCCGATGGTTGATAAGCTTCCGGCAAAAGGAAAGCGGAACTTTCCCTGCTTCCGGCGAGAAAAATGGCTTAATGATCTGCCGATCGATGACTACCAGTCCTTATATAGTGGGTAACAACTTATGATACATTTTTAGAGTATGCAATTGTTTCAGTGCAATATAAAACCTAGCTTGTAAGAGTTTGAACAATATTTGAAAATCCCCAAAAGTAATCTTTTTTATTATTGAGTAGTCATAAAATCTTGGCATTTAAGGAAGGCATTATCCTACGCTCGGTCAACAAATCTTTTGAGCACTCACATATTGTCTATGGCCACGGCCACATGTTTGGCAATCGCTGTAATCCCTGGCCAAATCCCTTCCGACCAGAAGAGACTATCTATCTGCCAGGGGCGTAACTTCCCACGACACCGCAGACGGATGGGTCTACCCCATCGAATTTACGATGACATTTATGCGTAATTTCTGGTCGAGTTTTATGGCCGCAATTGGACGGAGCTCCGTTGGCAGAGAAAAGAGTTCTGCTTTCACTGGCCCCCGCAGAGAAAGTGTCAAATAAATTTGATTGGAAAGTGATCTCTCGTAATTGAAACGGAACAGTTAGTTCCGGGCATCATTAGGGCGACACACCCACCGCGAGTACGGGAATCTGGGACCAGGTAGGATGTGCTACCCTGTGCCTCACAGCCTCATAGCATGCCACGTCATGACTTTCTTCCGTGTCAACGCCCATAGGCTCGGATGCGAAGGGAGCACCCTAGCCCATTGTGCGCCGTAATCCTTTGAGATCCTATCGCGTGCTACGATCCTGATCTTTGGGCGACTCCTTTGGGAGGAAAGACGCCGCGGGTTGCTCGCTCAGTTCGTGTCATAATTGCATGGCATTTGGTCGACGTGGAAGTGTGAAAATTATGGAGTTCCCTCACCCTTTCGGCATCTTAATGATTATGTTTGTTTCGTTTATCTCTGACTTGAGATCGCCAAGGGGCCCAAGGAGTTTGTTTGGCAACTTTGCTTCATTCATATGCGTGAGTTATGGTCCTTGCCTTTGGGTTTCTAGGGGTAGGTTTTCCTATATGGGATTTCTGCTTTTTGATTTCCGTTTTTTGCGTGCTAAATTGTGTTTTACGATTATGAGATCCCCGATTTCATCTTGAAGATATCGGCAGGGCCTCGACATTTCGGTTTCTTTTTTGCAAACGTTTATTTCTTTATCGATTTCGAGATCGTGAGAAGTAGTTCCGTTAGTAAAAAAATATATAATACTGTCTTTTTATAATAGTCATTTCTATGCGTCCTTTTAAACTGCTAGTCTTTGACATAATATTTTCTGCCTCTGAAACTCAAGTACCTTTATAAGCTTTAATGTTTGCATGGGAAAAGTCTTAAAGCCCTTCGCTGAAGTACTTTCCATGGAACCATCTCCATTTTGTTCCGAGCTCTGCTTGCCCTCCAACCATCCCACTTTGCTCCCCATCTCGGCATCCAACTCCAACTCGAATGTAAATAGGCCCGACCACTGGCATCTGCCAGTGACTGTCGCCAGGTGTACCCATCAGAACCGATGCCATACAGCAATCCCCATCCACATGCCCATCCCCATCCCCATCCCCATCACCGATGTTGTAAACTTTTTTCCGAACTTAATTAGCTTTGCCTGGGGTTGGGGCCGTGTTCTTTGCCATCGAGTGCCCCAGACCCCTGGTCTCCATATCGCACAATTACCCAGTGGAGCGCGTGCTGCAACCGCAGGTGCTAGAGCAGCACGGCACTCGTCTCCCTGCCCAGTTCCCAATTGCCAGTTGCGCCCTGTGCTCAGCTCTCGCAGCTCCCAGCTCCCAGATCCCAGCTCCCCATCCCCAGCTGCTGCTGCCACTACTACCAATCAAACCTGCTCGCGAGCTCTCCGCGCTGCCCAAGCTGGAGTGCCGGATAAGGCGGATAAGCCGCACACAAGCGCAGCCGAACTGGAAGGCAGCGGACCAATGGGCGCGCCGCATGGCCACCGAGCAACCCTCGTGCGATTCGACCGCTTCCAACTTAACTGGGCTGCGCAGAGCGGGCCCAGTTAGTCAGCCTTGCGCAGTCGATGCGAACGGACGCGTCGCTCCAGAGAAAAGTCGATATAGTAGTGGCCTATTGGAGAGAAGAAACCATCGTGACCGCGTGTGAGCTCGATACCAACCATTAAACAGACATATCATAGAATGGTCTTGAACGGCATGCCCATGACAATGCCAGTGCCCATGCCAGTGCCCATGCCCGTGCCCAGTCCGCCGGCCACCAAGTCCCGCGTGGCTGTCGACTGGGACATCAACGACTCCAAGATGCCGTCGGTGGCGGAGTTCGACGACTTCAACGACTGGTCCAACGGACACTGCCGGCTCATCTACTCCGTGCAGAGCGACGAGGCCAGGAAACATGCCAGCGGCTGGGCCATGCGCAACACGAACAACCACAACGTGAACATCCTGAAGAAGAGCTGTCTGGGAGTGCTGCTCTGCAGCGCCAAGTGCAAGCTGCCCAATGGAGCCAGTGTGCATCTGAGACCCGCCATTTGCGACAAGGCCAGGCGGAAGCAGCAGGGCAAACAGTGTCCCAATAGGTGGGTGTTTCCCCTAAAACGAAATCAGGGAAATAGTCAAAACTAACTAGATATTTCTTTCCTTCTGACAGAAATTGCAATGGTCGCCTGGAGATCCAGGCCTGCCGCGGCCACTGCGGCTACCCGGTGACCCACTTCTGGCGCAGGGACGGCAGCGGCATCTACTTCCAGGCCAAGGGCACCCACGACCACCCCAGACCCGAGGCCAAGGGCTCCACGGAGGCCAGGCGGCTCTTGGCCGGCGGAAGACGTGTGCGCAGCTTGGCCGTGATGTTGGCCAGGGAATCAGCGCTGAGCGACAAGCTGAGCAGCCTGAGACCCACAAAGCGACAGGCCAAGACGCAGGCCATCCAGGAGAGCAAGCGCAGGAGGATGGGTGCCGCCGATGTGATCCAAGCCAAGCAGGAGTCAGTGGAAGCGCCCAGCTATCTGCCCACATCGACGCCCACACACAGCAGCAGCTTCAATCCATCTCAGGGCTCATATGCAGCCGCAGGATTGGGATCAGTGAGCAGTCAGTGGCACGGAGAGATTTACTACGACACTGAGGAAGCAGCCTATGCCAATGGAATGTACTCCTACGACATGCTCCACTCACCTCTCTCCGCGCACAGCTCCACGGGCAGCTATTACCAGGAGAACAAGCCGCAGCACATGCAGCACTCGCAGTACCAGCAGCAACTTGTGCCAGTCAGCTACGAGCCCAGCCAGCCCATCTCCTCCAGCCAGCCAATCTCCTCCAGCCTGCAGTGCGGCATGCCGTTGTACGAGAGCTGCGACGACACGTCCAGTTTGACCAGCAGCTCGGGCTACAGCTCCGAGGACTATGGCTACTACAATGGATACCTACCCAACTCGCTGGACGTGAGCAACGGTAGCCAGGGCCAGAATCCCAGCCAGGACGGAAGTTTCTACACCACCAGCTCGGAGATCTTCAGTGTGTTTGAGTCGACCCTAAATGGCGGTGGGTCCGGTGGCGTGGATCTCATCTACGACGAAGCAACCGCCTACCAGCAACATCAGCAACCGGGCACGTTCCTGCACCTCACCAACTACCAACAGGAGCCGCAGGATCAGATGCAGTCCGCCGACTACTACTACAGCAACACGGGAGTGGACAACTCGTGGAACATCCAAATGGACGCGACATATCAGCCGGTCGCCGGCACGGATCCCATCTACTGCTAGGGGATCGGGTTCGGATCTCTCATCGCAACTACCATTACTGAGCCACTCAAGCGTTGTTCTAGTCCCTAGTTGATTGATTTCCATTCATGTTCCCATTGCTTGTTGGTCTTATTATTACATATGATTACGGTATTGAATATTGAACGTTTCTAGTTTGTACTTTTGTACTTGTTTCCCAGCTATTCCAAAGTTTTAGAGCACGTAAGATACGTAATGATATCCTTAAGCACACACCGAGTTTTAAGTCACACTTCCCACCTATTTATGAACTTTTTTGTAGTAATAAACATTTTTGAAGAGAAAACACAGAACAAACCCAATCGAAGCAACCTTTTCTGGGCTGTGACACTTGTCCAGCCAGGGGAGCCGGAAAATTAGTCAGTACAACATCACTAGCGGCAGGAGTAACACCTATAGGATTTCCAAAACAACAAGTTCAAATTTGTTAGTCAACCAAAATCGCGTAACAATGGGTGCTTGTCGTCCTCGAAAATGTATTGTCGATCAGAGAACCATTGCAGTGGTGAGTACTCAACCCACTAAAGCCACTAAATCACTAAATCCTTGAGAAGCGTCGTCGCAGAACTCTAATTCGCCTGATAGCCCTGCACAGGCTTGTGCTAGAAACGGGAATGCAAATTATGAATCGGAGAACTCCCACTAGCATTGAGATACTTGGACCAGCCCGTAGGCTAAATTCGCGTCGCAGAAGTCGCAGAAATCGCAGAATCGGAAGGAGAATGCTTTTGGGCGACCGTAGACCGCGTGCTGCATTTTCAATGCCCTCGCTAGGACATCCCGGGCAGAACCCATTCAGCTCCAGAACTAATCCACTCTGGGGACAGGCAAACATCATAACCACGCCGAGATCGTTGGCAGCCTTGAATGGACTTGCTTCAGGGAACCGCGAACCAAATTCGTTGTCGGTAATGGTGCGCTATTTGGATGGGCGTTGTAAGTTGAGCTGCACAATTGCTAATACCAATAGATGCCTACTTAGACACCTTTGTTAGTTCATTTCACCTTGGCGTCAAGTGAAGATACGCGCAATGAGAATCATGGCGTTCAAAATGGCCAGCACCAAGAGGCTCAAGGCGGCAATGACCGGAATCTTCATCCGGCAGCTCAGGCTGCCGATGAAAATAACAATGTGCAAAATCAGAATCCGCAGGCTCCAGATGCCGATGATGCAAATGGGCGGGTTGAAGTGCAGGAGGATCAGGATGCCCAGGCTCAGAATCGAGATCAAAACGAAGAATAGCGAATTACTTCCCTACTTTATATCAATGCTTTATGCACAGTCTAGAATGGTCTTTCTATTATAGATATTATTTCTACATACGGAACACATGCCTGTGTATCTTAAGCCAAATAAATGTCATATTCCCTTTTCAATGGCAATTAAATCCGGGCTCGATTGAACGGCTTACCTCCTGTCAGAGGCCACTCAAAAGTTTGGTTATTGTTTCCAATTTTTTTAAACCGATTATAAATAATTAAAATCGTAAAAGTAGGTAGTCCTGGGGAAGGGAAGGGGTTGCAAGTGGCAGGTCGGGCAAGGAGTACTCGACCCTAATGGGGGTTTGAGATCGACCATAAACAAAACGCCCATTAGTTGTCATGTTGGGTGGAAAGTGTGCCGCTGACGCGTGCGACCTTCAAGGATATTCGCACACTGGGAGAACTGGGAGAACTGGGAGGGAAATCAGAAATGAGGAATGACTTTGTTTCAGGGCAGCTTTGCATACGTAATTCGAGTGCGGCTGCGCCGAACCCTTGCCCAAATGAAAACATTTAAAATGTTTTGATTTCGTTTATGTTAATTTCCAGCCATAAATCAGAGCAGAGCGTGTGCTTCCTGTCGCATCCTGCAACAATATTTGTCCTTGCTGTTTGATTAGCCCTTAGCCCGGCCCGAACCCTCGCATGCAAATGAGTCCTCTTTGGAGTCGCTGACTCTGCTGCTTTTGGTGTTATCCTTGGGCGCCGAGGGGAGGAATCCTTGATCGCAAAGGTATTATGCAAATTCACTGATGCTGATCCCATTGTTGCCGGTGTAATTCAATATTCGCGTGAATAAGTGCGCGAATACAGGATATCTAATCTGAGGTTTCGCGAACTCACATTTGCAATTCCCGAGACTAATTTCGCATGCAAATGCGATTCGGCGGCAATTTGTTAATGCAGATTTTCGCACACTAATGAAGCTCGAATAGAGGTCTCAATTTAGGGTTAGATGCCATATATTGCTATTTAATAAATAGAACTATCTTATGTATTATATCTTTAACTCATTTGAAAGTATGCATTTATGTCAATTTATCTGCCAATTGTTATCCATTTGATAGGCCCGCTGGTTGGAAAGGTCAGGTCACTCACTCAGCCATCTACCAGCATTTGACTGACGGACTTTTGCAGTTGACACAAACCGATGATCTCGAGTGTGACTTTTTTGACTCTTCACACATCATGGACGGATCAGCGGAGAAATCAAGCCGCAGCTGCAGCTCGGGGAAAAACGATTAACTATTTACTTTATAGTACACGCCACATGAAACGCCTGCGTCAAAGGCCACAAAGGCGTGTTGCCACAATAAAGCGCCTGGCGATGTGGCGAAATCTCATCCGAACCTATTTAGGAGTGGCCACTTGAAAGGACAATGGCATCGCACCAAATGAGGCGCGATTAATGCGGCTTCAATGAGTCCTGGACCCTGGACTATGGACTCGAACTCGGAGATCCGAGGAAGCGACCTGAAAAATGCGAGTGACATGCGTGTCCCGCAAATTGTGCGGCCTCTTAATGGTGCAACCTCGAGTTGTGGGGTGGGTCAGCGTGACAGATTCCCGCAAACAATGTTGGTGAAAAATTGTAAAATTCGGGTTCGAGTTATTGTAAAACTCTCGTATTATATGAGTTTATAGTTTGGATTTCATAATAGTAAAGGTCATAATAGTAATTGCATAGGCTAAATCTGACTTGCAGTCTAAAATAAGTTTGAAATTTGGTGCAATCTGAAAAACAAATAAATTACCCACAAAAATCCTCACAAATGTTCACTATAATCGATATAGGATTTTGTTCAAATATATTCATCCCCCATTTTAATGTTTTTATGTACTTTAAAATTAAGAGTTAGTTCGATATTAATACTATTTAAAAGGATCAGCTGCGCCACCTAGTTTAGAAAAATCCGCCACTAGCGACACCTGGTGAGTGAGTTTGTCGTGCTGGCACACGTGGTATTAATGGTATTTTGCTAGAGCTGTCCCTCAGAGAGTACATTTGGTGGTATTCTGGTATTTTTTATCGGTATAGCCGCGGTCACACTGGGGATGTGCAACAAGTAGAAATTGCCGCATAGTTTTTTATAGCGAATCGCGACCACATAACTAACGGGGCAGGATCAAAGTTCGCTAGGCACTAAAACAAATAGTTATCGTAAGCAAAAAGTGACAAACCTATAACATCGAACTGAGAGCTTGCAATGTCGGCAACGAGATTTCTGAGTGCCGTTGGCCAAATTTCGCGACAGCAATTGCTGCAGAATAAGTGCACAAGAGGTGGGTTAATTGGCAGTTGTGCTATGAAAAGGGAAAGTGCAAACTGCAGGTAATAATTCCACACTGGAATTTGGCCCCTTGGAAATGGGCAGCGCTCTAGCGGTATCTCTGTATCTGTATCTGTCTCTCTCCCGTTCCCGTGCTCGCTCTGCTCCACCGATGCCGCATAACTGGACTTTGCACTTTGTACTCTCTCTTGACGTATAGCTTCGGTCTCTTGCTTTCTGATTTCCGATTTCTGATTTCGAGTGCCGTGAGATAATGCCCTAATCGCTAATCGCTAACAACGATCTCTTAACCCCACGCAGCCCTGCCCATGACGGCGCAGCTCCTCCAGAGTCGCCGCCTAATGTCCTCGAATCCCGCACCGGTGGCCAACAAGCATTTGCACACCAAGGTGGTGAATGGAGTGCTCGTGATCAAGATCGACTCACCCAATGCCAAGGTGAATTCCCTGGGATCCGAGGTGAGCGATGAGTTCGAGCGAGTGATCAAGGATCTGGAGACGAATCCTGCCGTCAGTTCCGCCGTACTGATCTCGGGCAAACCGGGCTGCTTTGTGGCCGGTGCCGACATCGGGATGCTGGAGGCGTGCCAGACGCCGGAGGAGGCCACGTTGATCTCCCACGGCGCCCAGGTGATGTTCGATCGCATGGAGCGCAGCAAGAAGCCCATTGTGGCCGCCATCAGCGGAGTCTGTCTGGGCGGTGGTCTGGAACTCGCCCTTGCCTGCCACTACCGCATTGCCACCAAGGACAGCAAGACCAAACTGGGTCTGCCCGAAGTTATGCTGGGTCTGCTGCCCGGCGGCGGTGGCACAGTGCGCCTGCCCAAGCTTACCTCCGTGCCCACGGCTCTGGATTTGGAGCTGACCGGCAAACAGGTGCGTGCCGATCGCGCGAAGCGACTGGGCATTGTGGATCTGCTGGTGGAACCCCTGGGTCCCGGACTCCAGCCTGCTGAGCAGAACACCATCGAGTACCTGGAGAAGACCGCCGTGCAGGTGGCCAACGATCTGGCCAGTGGCAAACTTCGCGTAAGAAAAACAACACTACAAGTTCATTCTACAGAATGAATAATAAATTGGTATATGGCCTAGCCCCTAATCTTGTCTTCCACCATATTCCACACAGGTTAATCGCGAGAAAAGCGGTCTGGTCAACAAGATCCAGTCCTTCGTCATGGACACCGACTTTGTAAAGAACAAAATCTTCGACACTGCCAGGAAGCAGGTGCTCAAGGCCTCGAATGGCCTCTATCCCGCTCCCCTGAAGGTTAGATATTGGTCAAACTCTTCCCATAATTCTAAGCTAACCCACAATTTCAAACAGATTCTCGATGTGATCCGTGCTGGCGTGGATAAGGGATCCGATGCAGGTTACGAGGCGGAGCGCAAGGGTTTCGGCGAGCTATCGGCCACGCCTGAGTCCAAGGGCTTGATTGCCCTGTTCCGTGGACAAACGGAGTGCAAGAAGAACCGATTTGGCAAGCCCGAGCGTCCTGTTAAGACTGTGGGTGTTCTGGGAGCTGGTCTGATGGGAGCCGGAATCGTACAGGTCTCCGTCGATAAGGGATACCAGGTGGTGATGAAGGATGCCACCGATGCCGGTCTGGCCCGTGGTATTGGACAGGTGCAGAAAGGCTTGGAGACGGCTGTCAAGCGCAAGCGAATCTCTGGACTGGAGCGTGATCAGACGCTTGCCAGCCTGCGCCCCACTCTTGATTACAGCGACTTCAAGAACGCAGACATCATCATCGAAGCTGTGTTCGAGGACATCAATGTTAAGCACCGTGTGATCAAGGAGTTGGAAGCAGTGGTGCCCCCGCACTGCGTCATTGCCACCAACACCAGCGCCATTCCCATCACCAAGATCGCAGCAGGAAGCTCCCGTCCCGAGAAGGTTGTCGGCATGCACTACTTCTCGCCCGTGGACAAGATGCAGCTGCTGGAAATCATCACCCACCCAGGCACCTCCAAGGACACCATCGCTCAGGCCGTGGCAGTGGGTCTCAAGCAGGGCAAGGTTGTTATCACTGTTGGTGACGGACCTGGCTTCTATACCACCCGCATTCTCTCCACCATGCTGTCGGAAGCCATAAGGTTGGTTTGCATTCGAAGAGGACTAAATTAAATTTATAATTCTACTTCTACTTTCATATCAGACTGCTGCAGGAAGGCGTGGACCCCAAGGATCTGGACCAATACACGAAGAAGTTTGGTTTCCCCGTGGGTGCTGCGACCCTTGCGGATGAGGTTGGCATCGACGTGGGTTCCCACATTGCCGTAGACTTGGCCAAGGCATTCGGTGACCGCTTCAGCGGCGGAAACTTGGAAGTGATGAATGACCTGGTCCTGGCTGGTTTCCTCGGACGCAAGTCCGGCAAGGGCATTTTCCTGTACGATGGCCAGAAGAGGGGCACTCGTCCTGTGAACAACGATGCCCTCGAGATCGTCAAACAGAAGTACGCCTTAGTCTCAAAGGGAGCCAATGTCCCCGAGGATCTGACGCTGCGAATGGTGTCCCGCTTTATCAACGAAGCTGTGCTGTGTCTGGAGGAGAAGATTCTGGACAGCCCGCTGGAGGGCGATGTCGGAGCTGTTTTTGGCCTGGGCTTCCCGCCATTCTCCGGTGGTCCCTTCCGCTGGGTGGATCAGTATGGAGCAGGCAAACTGGTCAGCAAGATGCAATCCTACGCTGAGCTGTACGGAGCTCCCTTCAAGCCCGCACAGACCCTGCTAGACATGGCTAAGGACCCGGCGAAGAAGTTCTATCCCAAGACTGGCTCCTCGAAGTTGTAGGTCCGATACAATCCGATCCCAGCCTCCGTAAAGCCGCCAACGAAATTTAGCTTTTAGTGCGAAGACAGGGGCACGGCGTGTCCTTGTGCATTTTTCTCAGAAAGGAATCCTTTTATGGTCCACTGCCGCCTAAAAAATGGGGCAAGGCTCTACAGAACTCCCTCTGTTGATGTTGTCGAGATTTAAATTAAAGTTTACCATGTAATTTTCCATACGTTCACTTGTTTATTATTTCACACAGCAGTTTGATATCGATCTATCTCTTTATCCCTCTTTGTTTTACTTGAACGGAAATTCATTTGTACACAGATTCTATAGTTTAGGCTTCAATAGCAGCATACATATATACAGTTTTCTTAACTAACCTGTTTCCGACCTCTACGAAGCAATTTTGAAATCCCAAAAAATCGGTTTTCTAAATTCCTCAACTACTTCGTTCAGGTCTAAATGGCTTTTAAGGAGGCCTCATTACTACTTGTTCGTTGAAATGTGTTCGATTTTAAGACACTCCGTATAATTATTGCTTGGAATAGCTTGAAATCATAAGCAGGAAATTGTTCAAATATATATTGTTTTTAAAGTTGTCATACAGTACTGGAAACTCTTTGGAAATGGATCATTCTAAAACGTGTGGTCAAAATCGAAACAAATCGCGGATTTTCGTCAGTTTAAGGCTTTTGAAAACATCCCCTTACTATTGAGTAGACACAACACATTAACAGTGAGCGGGCTGAAGTAGCTCTGATTCGAATTAGTACCCTACCCATTCCAGCTTCAGTTCCCCCTTAAGCTTCTAACTAAACTTATCCTATTCCTAGTTAAGGATTAGTGACTTTCCGCTGCGCTTTGTATTCCTTCATTGTTTCCTCCAATCGCGTCCAGAGCTGCGCCTTTGATGCTTCATAGATCCCCCATTGCTGCTTCCCCCGCTGCCGTTGACCACGCCAGAAACTCCTCCTCCGCTGCTGTGATCCTGGGCGGGATATCGGGTTACAACGTCGTCAATCAGCTCCAGGATCCCAATCTTGAACTTGCGACGCTGCTGGGGAGTCAGAGCCGCCAGATCGGGAAGAATGCTGCGGAAGAACTCCATGTCCGCCACTTCCGAGGAACTTAATCCGCCGTAGACACTTCCTGCATTCGTCATCGTGCTGGTGGCCTCGCATTCCGTCTTGATTCTTTTCGTGCTGCCCGGTTCGAAGGACGCTGGGTGGTGTTCCATGGCCATTGTCAAAGGATGTGGATGCGAGTGTGAGTGCGAGTGCGGGTGGTAGTGGAGGGGCGGTGGTGTGCCATGTCCACCATCGCTGTAGATGAGCTGCGAACCCGTCTCGGCCAGCTGCACATCTGGAATGAAGTTCTTCATGCTGTCCGCACTGGCGGTATCGCTCCTGGCAGGTGAATTGCCTCCGCCCCCTGGATGCGTGGAACAGCGAGTGGGCGTGGACGAAGTGCGATTCATGCCCAGGGTGTTGGTCACCGCGGGATCAAATGCGTCGATGGTCTCCTCATCATCCTTCTCCGATATCGAGTACTTCATCTCCAAGACCTCCATGCTCTCGCCATTATTATTGCCGATGTTGTTATTATTATTGATGCTGTTGGTGGCGCAGTATTTGTGCTCCTCGTTCGCATGGAGGGCTGGGTGGAGGAGGTAGGGCTGGTGCTGGAGGTGCTGCTGCGAAATCTGGTAGAGCGTGGCCAGGCTGTTGTTTCCCTCCAGGGAGTTACGGCTGGACTTCAGAAAGGGCAGCAGGAACGCCATGTGCTCGGTCAGGTAGTATGGCTTGTGCTGCGGCTCCGATCCGGATTGCTGCTTTATGTAGCGGGAGAGGCAGGCGCGAAGGTTTCGCCATCGCTCCTTGCAGTGGATCACTGAATTATAACGAAAGTGCTGATTAGTTAAAGAGCCTGAGTTTATTACGACTATTGCATACCGCTTTCTCTGGTCTCCTTTGAAATAAGCACCCACGCCTTTTCCTGGTTATCCCTGTGAAAAGTGATTCAGTTCAGTTGAGAACACTATTACAAACCAAATTATCAATATTTTATTGTACATTGCTGCTATACTTGAACTAATTAGTGCTATTATCTGTACACATGAATTATTTATAGAAATTTTATAAAGCTAACAGAAAAGTTTCAACTATGGCTTATGGTTCATAAGCAAAGCATACAACAAATTACATATATTTGAAGTGAATTTATCATTATGAATTATACAAGTTTATTTAAAAGATAATCTTGAGCACATCTTTTGGGGTCTGAAGGACTCGCGACTCACCTGTTGCGGTACTCGGGCACCTTCTTGTCGTAGAGACACTTGTGGGTGCGCACCAGGTTGACGAAGCGGATGTTGAAGTCCTCGTCCGCCTGCATCACTCGATTGGTGGATCCAAGGGAGGCGCCTGCTGTTCCCGATCCCGATCCTGAACCTGAACCCGATCCCGATCCCGTTGGACTGTGGTGGTTGTAGGCGGTGGCGCCGTTGGCGGTGGCTCGCTCCTCGTGCTCGCTGCTGTGGTTGTTGCTGCTATTTGTGTTGCTGTTGCTGCGCGTTGAGGTGGTCATATTCGATGGCGGTATCGTGCACCACAGAGCCCCTAAAAGATACATGCATATGTACGTATTAAATTTGAAGTTATTTCCGTTAATTTAGGGAAATGTTTAGGCGCACCCCGATTACCAGTGGTTTGCTGTCCTGTTGCACGTTAAGTGCCCACGAAATGACAACTTGAAGTTTCGTTAGCCACTCCAATATTTGATTTTTAGACTTTCCTATCTATGTATGTACTTATGTACATTTGAAGCATATATGTATGTATGTACATATTCCTATTTATTTTTGAGCTGGCAAACAAAGAGCATTCTCAACGACTCTTTTTTCAGCTTTTTTTCTGTCTTTTCTGCTGGGGTTTTGTGTTCGGTTTCTTTTCGTTTTGTCGTGTTATTTGTTTGTGTTGGTTTCTGTTCAGTTCTGTTCTGTTCAGTTCAGTTCAGTTCTGTTCTGTTCTGTTCCGCTGTCTGTTGCTGCTGTCTCAGCAAACGAGGAGGCACAGAGCTTTTCGCTCATATATACAATTTCGTGAAACTTAATAAAACATTGTTGTAGTCGTAGCCAGCGTTGTAGTTGCAGTTGTAGTTGTAGTTGTAGCTGTAGTTGCCATTATTTTGAGTACAGTTTGGCGAGCTGGATAGGAAAGCATTGCGTTGCGTTGCGTTGATGTTGACAACTCGGCGGCGGAACGACGACAGCCAGCAACTTTGTTTACTTTTCATATTATTATAGCCACAGCAGCGACAATGGCAGCGGCCATAAAAATAACAGGCAATTTGGCTGTTTGTGCTGTTTTAGCCGCTTGTTTGTGTTATTGTTGTCGTTTGTGTTGCTGTTGCTGCTGGCGTCGAAAGCTGAAAGCTTTTGCCTGCTCCACTGATAACAGCAACAACGGCACAGCTTGAGCAGCAGCAACAACAGCAACACGCGGCTGCAACAGCAGCAGCAACTCACTGCAGCAAGCAATGTTGTGTTGCAATATCCGAAAACATGTTGGCCGAAAACCAAATCCGCTGAATAGTCACGAATATGTGTGCGAGTACCCACCGCGCACTCACTATTCACTGCTCGCCAGCGATTCGCTCTCGCACCTGCGACTACCTGTTTCGATTCTAATCAGCCCACTCCACCTGTCCACTCACTCGACTCAGCTGCCCACCCCTTCTGGCCACCGCCCCCTTCCATCCTCCCATCGCGGCGACACTTGGGCCGCTCTTAAATCTCCGACAGTTTTCCCGCCACTTTCAGCACCTTGCGGCCCCACCAACACATTTGCACAGCGAAAAACGTGCGCACAGTGGGATGGAAGTAAGCGAAAATGGGAATGCCCAGAACGATTAGGAAGCCACGTTGATGGTATCAGATGGTATACATGCATTTATCTATCTACATTTTATCTATCTATATATTAGTTATATATATTTTTCTAACTGTTCAGACATTTGTAGAAAATCGCCTTTTACTATTCAAAATATTACCAACTGTAGAGTGTGGAGAGCAGTATAGGTTTCTGACCTGTTTCATGTACAGTAATCTGGTATATTATTATTTTATTTTTTAATTCTATAGTTTAATGACTGATCCCAATCCCTATTCTATTTTTTCCGCCATAAAAGACTAGCAAATGTCTCTTGCTGTATAAATAAAACTCCCATCTGATTTACGTCCACTTTCGTAGCAGTTTTGAGCCACTGTGCGCTGGCAGCATTGTTGTGTTCTTTGGCCAGTCATCATTATTATCAGCGAACATCATTATCAAGGAGAACGTTGCTCGCGTGTTTCGGCTTTACCCGTTGTTGTTTTTGTTAATGTTATTGTTGGATTGCTGTGTGCGGTGTGCGGTGTGGGCGGTGGGGAATGGAATGGGGAACGGGAATGGCGACTGGAAGGGGTAGGAAAACAACTAGCCTGGGCTATATGGCAATATTTATTGTATTACGTCTATTTAACATAAACATATCGGCATGAGCGTACTAATGCCTTGAGAAATGTTCATGTTTATCTATTAACAACGGGGCACAGCGAAAAGTACAGCAACGTACAAATCGAAAAACACAGAAACAGCAAAAGCCAAACACAAAAACCAAAGAAAAACGAAAACAACAGCAACAACAAGCACAACAACAACAAAAAGAAAAAGAATTATTTCTAAAGCTAACAAAACACAGAAAACTTGCAAAAAACCCCGGCACACTCTTTGTTTCCCTCCACCAACAAAAATATATACAGTATATTGTATATTCCGTGGCCCAATGACAGCAACAACAACAATCGCCATAACTTTGTTAGATAGACCAACAACAACAATACACACACACACACACACACTTGCACACAGAGGCAATCGCACACAAGGAAACAATATGGCATATAGAATTTTTCTTTCAGCTGCTTATCAGGCTGTTGTTGTTGCTGTTGCGCCTAACTTGCGATGTTGTGCGAAGAGAAGAATTCATTACCTTTGGGAATTGTTCGTTGGCAAATCGCTGGATTACCAATAACTCCTGTTGCAGAGGCGATTTCCAAACGCGACAACTCCTTGCTCGCAGCGATTTCAAAACGACACGATACACGGCACACAAATAAAACGGCGCCAAAAATATTTTTGTTGCTGCTGCTGTTGCTGCTGCTGCTGCTGCTGCTGCTGCAGCGACCGACGACTGACGTAACGTTCAAAAATGTTGAATTCGAAAAACTGGCGGTCGAGTCGACGGTGCACGGCGCTCGGGAATCGGCGGCGGACTGTTGGATTGTTGGCAATGTCGTATGTTTCGCGTTCCAAGCGACGAAGGCGACTAAACACACAGAGCCACAAATGCTGCCTGCTGCCCTGCGAGAGCGAGCTATGCACTGAGGAAAATAGTCGAGTGGTCACTTGGCAATTTTCAAATGTAATATAAGAACATATGCAAATAGTTAAGTGTACATTATTCAAGCGTCTCTATAATATGTGTTGCTTTAAAGTTAATTAGCGGGGGAATAAATATCTCGCGACTTCTTTAATTTTAATGCAAGCGGCATTCATTTAATTGAATAGTTATAACGCTCTAATAAGTAGCAATCAAATGCGTATTTTCTCAGTGTATCACCCAGTATCTATCGTATACGTAGAACACTGAAGCAACAGCAACAACCTGACGGCGGCGAGCAAACAGAGAACAACGCACAAGACCCCGCTCTCCGCCGCACACACACAGATACTCACACGGACACACACCAGCGCGGTAATACAAACACACACAGCTGTCTGCTCAACAGCAGGCAACTTTTTATTGTTGTTGCTGGCAACGAACAACAAATAAGACAAACAATGCACACACACACACGTAGGTATGACGAGTGTTTTCGAGTCGGAGAAACGGCAACTGCGCGGTACGAAATGCAAAGATACAGATACAATGCGTTTGATGAGAGGTGCGGAGGGGAGGGGTACGGCACAGGCCAACAAAAATTGTTGCACTGCATCACGAATGTGGCCTGTCGTTAGAGGCGAAGTCGCCCCGAAGGGATCTGGCAAAAGGATCATTCTAGCGTACTTCTAGGTATTTATTCAAATGGAAACCTATTTTCAAGATCTATTTTAATGTATTAAATGGTTATTGTTTCGCAATATCAGTTTTACAATATGATTTCCTTGAAAAATTAATTCCAAGCCTTAGTTCTATAAATTAAACACAATTTTCTCAGCGGAAAATTATTAAATATAACTTTGAGTTTATATTCCCATGTAATGGTATTGTTTCCATTCATTTCAGTATTCACTCACTATTTCCGAAAAATACACATTTTTCACGCGAATCCTCACAAAAAATATCAAAACAACAACAACCCAAATAGTTTTACCTGAAAATAATTCCAGTGTGCGCTGCCTCTTCTTCTACTTCTCCTACTTTGCTCTAACTCTCAGGAAACATTGAAACAACAACGGTTGCTTACTCAGCACCGCACACAAACATAGACTGCTGCTCTCACGGACACAACAACAGCTGCCGCTCTCAGAACCAACAACAAAGCGAGCAAACAAAAATCATTTTGTTGTTGCACAAAAAGCTTTGCAATTTCGCTGCCTCTGCCGACATCGCTGCTTTTGTTGATTGCTTTGCGTCGTGTTGTTGCTGGCCGTGTTTCCAACAAGCTTTCCAACAACATTTGTTTACATTCCAAATTTATTAGGCGAGCTTTTCGAACATTTTTCGAACACGTTTCGCTTGACTATCGCTAGGGTGCGCCTGCTACTTCCGGTACACATTTTCCAGAGCAATTTTCGTATTTCCTATTTTTTTGTGATTTATGCCAGATGTAAAAATGTTTTTAACAGATATTTCAGACCTGTTTTAGATTCCTTAAAATCGTCCGTGACTTAGGAGCAAACAAAATATTTAAGCAATATGGTTTACAAAAATAACAAGTTATTACTTTGGTAATAAGTTATTACCTTTGGTAACTTTGGTATACAAACCTCTTCCATTTGGCTCCAACGGTCATTTGAAATGGCACCATTCAAACACTCGAATTGCGATTCACACGCGAAAAGCTCGACAAAGCTCAAAAGGACTCACTCCTTAGGCCAAAACAGGCAGAGTTTATGTGTTACGCCTGACAGCAGACCACCAACCCAGTTATTTCCAGCACTTTAACGATTTGTTTACAACTTTGTTGCCTGCAATTTACCGCCAGCATACGGACCTGCCAGCCAGCCCAGCTTTTCACCCCTTTCCGTTCGCCTGGAAAAGCTTTGCTCGGAGGGCAGGATGTCTTGTCCTGCGTGTGCTCAAAAATTCAATAAAAAGGAGGCTCGTTTCTGTTGTGGCCTACATGCCACAGCAAGGACGAGCAATCGGTTCGTGAGCCGAACGCGTGAGCCGAGGAAAACTTGGTCACCGGGTGGGAAATGTGAAATGGGAAATGGAAAAGGGGCCAAAAAGGGTGGTGAGGGGGGGGCGGGTGGCGCTGGGAGCAAGGAGAGAGCTTCCAAGTGCAGCGGAGCTCAGTTGCCACAGGACAGTCGAGGCGAGTGCTCGTCCTTGGTCGCAACGGGCTCCCGGAAAAGCGGTCCTTCGCCTCTCGAGTGTCAGGATTGTTTTGGTTACGCGACTGCCCCGCTAGTGTTGGTGACCATCTGTGTGCGTTTGTGTGCGCTTAAAAATATATTCGCCATGAATTATTTACCCAAAACGAGTGCTGGAAAGTTTTGATAAGTGCGAAGAACGTCCGAGTTGAGTCAGCGGAAAGTTTCGACTCAAAGAGCACTTTGTTTGACAATTTGCAGCGGCATCAAGGATGCAGTCTCCTCTGCACTGGGACGTGGAATGCATTTTCCGAAGCGCAGTATGTGGCTCTTTCTCATTTCAGTGAAAAACCCCCTTCATTACCACGCTTTTCCCTCCCACTCCCACTCCCACTCTCGCTCTCTCCCGCTCGCTCTCTATTGTTTTTCTCAGAGTGTAGAGTTGCGATTTCGTTAGAAAATCGAAACAAAAGCGGGCCAGGCTCTCGAGGAATTGTGGGTGTCGTTGCTGCGGCTACCTGTAGATGCCACATAAACACACACAGATACGCGGACATGGAGGCGGGTGTGTGCGAGTCCTTGAACGAGGCTTTCGGTTGCCCACCCACATGCCACATCCATATCCGTATCCATGTCCATGGCTGCCTTTCACTGCCCGCTTCCGACTCTAATTAACTTATAATTCAAGGTCCAATACGCTGCCACTGAAGGTTAAACATGACGACCCAGCGATTTTCGGTGTTGGGTTTTTCGTAAGAATCTTCAAAAGCAGCCCGCTGGCAGCTGTAATTGAGCGATTTCCGCGGA